GAACGATGTAAAATAAACCGCTTCACGTGTGAAGTATGCAGGTGGTTCGAAAAGTTTTAAACAACTCAAGCAGTTGCTGCTGTAATGCAAACAGCAAGTACGTCTGCTTTACATGTACGCAGCACAGCGCATCTTACTGTGCATACACTCAGCCTGCAATTAGGCCCTACCTTGAGAATTTTTTATAGAAAAGGGGTAAATGAGCATACGTCTCACGTGGTGATGAATAATCACCGTCGCCCAATGAACATTTTCAACAACATAGGAATTTGAGGTACGTTGCAGACCTTTTTTTTATGGAAGAGCGGGCAAACGAGCATGCGGTTCACCTGGTGTTAAGTGACTACCGCCGCCCATGATCACCCGCAAAACCAGGGGAATAGCAGGTGCGTTGCCGGCCCTTTAGAAAGGAGTAAGCTCTTTTCTTTTGGAAAGCAGTAGGCTCTTCCGTAGAGAGACGTGAGGCGCTGTGGCGATTCAGATTTATGCATTTGCTCGCACACTTGCTATAAAATATAATATTTTTTTTCTATAAATTAATTTTTTGCTATAAAATATTTTTTTTGCTATAAAATATAATTTATTTTCTCTAACAATTATATTTTTTAATAACCGACAAACCAACTTACAGTCCACCAGATGATAAGAGGCTGGAGACCTGCAGCAAAATTAAAACAGATAGCTACAAATGCGTTATCACCTATTAAGGTAGAATGCACTCCATTAGATCTGCGGATGTAGTGCTATTTGGTGGCAGAAGAAAAACGGATTCCTATACAGAAAAAAGTCCTAAGATCTAGTTTTAAGACCTATCCTCCTATCGTAAACTGCTAAGATTTTTTCCATTACCGCTGATTAAGTGATAACGGGTACTAAAATGTAATTCCGTCAGATGATCTTCCGAAGTATGACTACTTCAAGTAGTAAGTGCCATGAAATTGTTTGAGACAAGTTTAGGGGACACAATTTTTTTTTGTTGAAGTACTATACGTCGTCAACTAAGCGATGAGAAGAATATATTGTTTGACCCTTACTTTTTATATTTAACGTAGGTATAATTGATTTATAAAATGTTAAAATGGTAAATGATATTGCGAAAAAACGAAACTGAAAGAAGAACCGTTTAAAAAGGACTTGTAAATAAAACGTAACGCAGTAGAAATAAAAGAAACGAGCTCTTCAATTTATATAGTCTACTCGCCTTTAATTTATATATAATTAAGATACTCGAATGGTGCCACAATAAGGGCTTATTAGATGAGTTAGATGAGTGAAAGCAATTTATAGTATTTTTTTTTATAGGATAGGGTGACAAACGAACACACAGTCCACCTGATGGTAAGTGTTGCTGCGGCCCATAGACATCTACATCTATCCTCGGTGCAGATGCGTTGTCACCCGTGAGGACTAAAATGGAATTCCTCGTTTCCAGTAAAAATAGGTTCTCCGGTTTTCTACACTCACCATACGAAACACAGCAAAATTAAGCTACTATTTTACGCTGGTATTCTGTGAGAGCGTGGTCCTACCCGGGTTGAGCTGACCCATTCGTGCTACAACTATACTACTAATATAACTGCAGCATGGCTCTACCACGTATAAATGTGGTTTTGCTAAGGTCTTAATTTTTTATACAAATGATAAGACATTATGTATTAAAAATTATGGATCGGATTTCGGGACTGCGACTATACTTCTTGTACCATATACCTTAGAATTAAATGGTATACGAGTAGAAACACATACAAGTCAAACAAACAAGCATTCATATATAAATTACATTATATTTCATTGTTAAATTAAAGTACCTAGTCGACTGATCTATACCTGACGTTAAAAAATTATAGTTTTGTTAAGTATGAAACCTACATAAGATGTGAACTCGTAAAGAAAACAATACAATAAAATATAAAATCTCATTTAATTTATTTGAGCATTTGGAGAAACCAATTACATATTATAATATAATATTAAACATATTATATACCAAATACTTACTTAAATTATAAGAAAAAGTAAGTGCTATGTCCTGTGTAAACAACAAGTCTACAAATTTTGATCATTCAAACTTACAACAAATAGCATGATGAGATAGCTCCAGATGAATACGTTAGCACAATGCTAACAAACAAAATGTTCACGCTAAATTACCTGCAGCTTTGAATGGTCGCCCTTACTACACTTACGATTCAACCAAATGAGAAACAGCTTCTCATGAGATTCAAAACGCTCTCAGCGTTGTATATTTTCTTTGTAAAGCAAATACTTACCTGTATAACGGATTTGTTTAATTTAAACCGAAACGGCTATGTAATTATTAGGAATGAATAATATGTGTAAAACAAAATTCAGATTTTTTTAGATTATTATTAATTTTTGTACAATTTAATGTTAGCTGTAGTTGTAATGTACTTAAGTTTTTAAATAAAGAAACAAAACTAAGATGTTTTTACCCGTACCACGATCGGTGGTAATCCGCAGAGATTATCACGTTCTTAGAAGCGACTTGTTTAAGCCGAGTAACATTATAAGAACGAAAAGAATTTTTATTCAAAGAATTGCTATTTGTCGGTAAAATTAAAAACTAAATTTACGGCTAAATCTAATCTATAAGAGCCCTTCACAAGTGAACTGCTGAACATCGAAACAAGCAGTACCAGATTTTTAACGTAGAAAAAGTGTTTTCCGCATCGGTTGTCGAATCGTCGAGCAATATATGGCCAGCCCATTGCTACTTCAGCTTACAGTTTCGTTGGGCTATGTCAGCTACTCTGTTTCTGCTGTGGATATCGTCGTTATTGATTCTATCACGCAGAGAAACTCCAAGTATAGCCCTGCCATGGATTGCTGGTTGACATTAAGATTTCTCATATGGCCAGCAGAGATAGACCGCGTATTAGGTCAGTTTGTCATGTCACTCACACGCACTTGTTCTACAGTCTTGCTTTGAGGTTTTATGGAGATCACGACGAGAAGATGTGTCGAAGTTGGACTTCCCTAGGACAACATGTCCTAGGTAAATTGGAGTGACCAAACAGCTAGAAACATAGATGAGACACGGACTTCTTTGCTTTGTCCTTGTTATCTTCGTATTATTCATATTAGAATACTGTTAAGGTCTTCCAGTTATTTTTCCATATTAACTAGCAATTGCATATAATAGGTAAGTAATGTATTCGCCATCATCGTAGATCTATGGTACAAACACTTCAAAACTTCGACACCAGTTAATCCGGTATCGCTGAAGAAACCACAGCAGCCTGTAAATGCCTGCTAGATAAATGATGAAAAAACAGTGTGTAGTTTTTCTGTGACTTGAAATAGCCTTCATAAATATGGACTTGATTTTTTCTTATTTGACCATTTCTTGTTAGATCTAATTCTAGTAAGGCCCATTATACTTCTATTTCGATTAAATACCAACACAAGTAAAACATGTTGTAGAATTTCGTTTACTAAATTTCAGAAACAAAGACAGAAACCCAATTTTTTTATTCAATATAGATTATAAATAATACTTATTGAAAGTCACATTTTTTAATATACCACTGGTTCGGAAAAAAACATCTGTCCTGGGAAGAACCAACAAGAAATTCAACAGGACTTTAAAAAAAGTAACAGCTTACAATCATGTGTGATACAATTAACTGTATTTCAATATTTCCTGTAATCTATAATGTACAATGAGTGATCAAGACATGAAATTTGCAATTTCGAAATTGTGCTACTAAAAAAGTTTTGAGTTTGGAAATACGTTTGAATTTTGTCTGTAATTCTGTCGGTATTATGTACGTACTTCTTCATGCCTCGAAGCACTTACGGTGCTGGCAGGATTCCAAAAGTTCCACAAGGCATATAACGCACCCCGGGGACTTCATCTACTAGGAATGATGTAATTAGCCGCACACTTTTTTGCAGTTCCTACTGAAGTATTAACAGGTTATTAGAATCGATCGATATGATAATAAAAAAAATTGGTTTAAAATGCAATTTTAAACCAATTTTTTTTATGTAAATTTATTTAAATTTGTTTAATTCAAAGACGAATAAATTGGTTTTTGGGTAGGTAAATTATTTTATACTTTTGCAGTACCTACCTTAGTTTAAATTTTATACACATTTCATAACGTGAAATATATAAAATTGTTTTATAATGAGTATGTAAATTATCTTGTATTTAAGTTATAAGCCTGTTTTAAGTTATTTCTAATTTCAATAATAATATTATGGAATGTAAATATACGAATGAAATTATAAATTATGCTTTGTGATTTCATAATTATTTAATATTCATACTATATCACCTTTTGTGGCTCACGGTGGCATATAAAATAAAATACATTTATTTTATTACAACATAATATTTAAGAGCGTAGTACAGTTTACATATCATCTAACTTTTTTATAGAATAAGGGTGATAAACGAGCACACAGTCCACCTGATGGCAAGTGGATGCTGTGGCCCATAGACAGCTACATTTATCCTCGATTAAGGATTAAAATGCGTCGTCACCCCTGGAGACTAAGAAGGAATGCCTCTTATCCAGTCAAAAGGGTCGTTTCTCTACACTCACCATACGAAACACAGCAACCTTAAGCTGCTATTTTACGCTGGTATTCTATGAGAGCGTGGATCTACCCCGGTCGAGTCAAACCATTCGTGCTACAACTAATATAGCTTCAGTATGGCTCTACAAAGTAACTTGCAAATATAATAAAAAATACTCAATGAAAATATTCCATAATATAAAATAATTTTTAAGTATTACTATATTATACTTATTATATATATTATAGAATATAGATGGACTAACGCGGCTTAAAAATGTTTGCGGTGTAGGTAAGTAAACTCGCCTATGTGTACTTTTTTTGTAAACTGATTTTTTTTAATCAATTGCAAACAGAGGATTCCAAACATAAATACTTTACGAAAATAGAAAGAGTGTAAATAAAAGATGAGTAACGAGAAGTCTTAGTACCGCAGCGTCAAGGTGGAGTGTTTAGTATGTTTGTCGTTCGATAAGACCAGTGAGGATCTGAACGTCATGGTACTGGCGGAAGAAGGCATCCGGGCTGCGGTCGATAGGCCTTCGGGCGCACGCGCGAGGCTTGGTAGCGGCGAAGCAGTGGCACACGTTAGTCCGCCGGCTGAAGCGCGGCTGCCGGCAGCCTGCGTCCGCTCGGGCGCTAGCGGACGCGCAAAACATGCCTACGAACCGTCCCCGCGGCGTGCACACAGTTACCCTGGTGCTGGCGCTCGCCATAGCCTGGTTGCCCCACGCCGACCACGCCGCGTGAGTATGCCACATTTCCACCACACAGCTCACCACGCGGCAAGAACACGTTGCCGACCGCGAAACCATAGCGTGTTTAAACACTTAACGCGGTCGATCTCCATAAAACGACTACTTAGTTTGCTTATTAAACATTAAAATTATATCTCAATTAACATTATACTGACTGTTTCATTACAAATAAGAATAATTTTATTTAAATGTAATAATTATACGCAATTAATACATGTTATAAATTCATTAATTATATAAAATATGATGAGACAAGACTTTTCAAACTTTATAAATTAATTAGCATTACTATTTTCTTACTAATCGAAAAACTGCCGAAAACTAAAACATTATATTGACTTAAATTTACTGAAATAACAGAGACGTATAATACACAACATAAACTTATAAATTTTAATTATTTAATTTGGTCAAGAAAATTGTGATTAATATCCAATTTAATTCTAACTAATAATTCAAGTTTTGTCAGCCTAATTATTGGTTATTGAGGAAACATAATTTGACTTTTCCAAAGGATGTAATAATTTCATACCTAAATGTGATTGATGATTTAACTACGACGCAAAAGATAGCATTTTTTATAGAATGAGATTGGCAAACGAGTACACAGTCCACCTGATGGTAAGTGAATGCTATGGCCCATAGACATCTACATTTAACCTCGATTAAGAATTAAAATGCAGGTATGTTGTCACCCCTGAGGACTAAGATAGAATGCCTCGTTTTCAGTAAAAAGGGTCTCCGGTTCTCTAGGCTCATCATATGAAACTCAGCAGCACTGAGCTGCTACTTTACGCTGGTTTTCGGTCGAGCCAATCCATTCGTGCTATAACCATAATATAGCTGAAGCATGGCTTTAAATTGCTATTAGCCCAGTAAATCAATTTCTTGAATTATTAATTATTGTAAGGCAAAAAAGTTAACTTATAGCCTATGTTATATTTCATACTCTTGGGCACAGGATAGTCGAATAATTTATATAAAACTAGTTCTGCCCTTTTCGACGACCCTTTGTCATGTCCTATTAAAAATCCTTATATTCGCAAAAAAAAAAAAATTGTGGGCCACGCATGGGCAAAAAAACCCTATCCTATCTCTCAAGTTGGACTAAACTACACCCGGTGTGCAAATTTGATTAAAATCGGTTAAGTAGTTTAGGAGTCCATCGCGGACAAACAACGTGATACGTAATTTATATATATTATGACTAGCTTTCCAGGCAGACTTTGTTCTGCCCTTTTCAACGACAAATTGTAATGTCCTATTAAAAATCCTTAAATTCGCAAAAACAAATTGTGGGCAAAAAACTATCCTATCTCTCAAGTTGGACCAAACTACACACGGTGTGCAAATTTGATTAAAATCGGTTAAATAGTTTAGGAGTCCATCGCAGACAAACAACGTGACTCGTAATTTATATAATATGTTAAGATAGGCCAGAAAATGGCAGCGTGGTGAAGTTGCCCTATTGCCTACTGCCGGACTTCACATTTCTTCTAAATAATTTTTCTTTATTCTCAGATATGTGGGTTTCCTTACGATCTCTTCTTTCACCTATTAAGTAACTACAGGTTGTTTTATTTTATGTTATAGGTACAGTCTGTTTTAATTATTCTTCTTCTTCCGTTGGCGCTACAACCCTTTGTGGGTCTTGGCCTCCTCCAGTTGTCACGCTGTCCAGCTACCTTCTTCCAGCTGGTAAACTTTCCCGTCTTTCTGAGATCTTCTTCCACACAGTCACACCAACGCTTTTTAGGCCTGCCTCTCGGTCTCTTTTGTTGCGGCGTCCAGGTAGTAGGTATTAAATTCTTCATAGTAAATTATAATTACATAGGCGGGAAACTCGGCATCGAGCACAATCATCCATTTCGTGATTATAATGTTGCCTTACGTAAAAATAAATCTAAAAAGATTTTGTCAGGCGGTGTTTAATTCTAACACCATTATCAAGCAAGCAAAATGTTAGGTCCATTTCAAAATTAATCGGTCCGCCACTTTTTTCCTCCAGAACGAAAACAATCATTATTTATGACTAGCAACTTGCTCTGGCTTCGTCTGGATAGGATATATTAATGTGGCGTTATATAGATTGAATAAAATAAAAGATCATTATGACAAATTACGTTTTTTTTAAATCTTTCGTCGTTTTTTACATAAAGTATAGTCCACATCCCTCTTGGAACCAGCAGTTTATTTACAAAGTATTTACCCAGTCAGACCAGAGGATAAAGCCTTAAGCTGGAATTTTACCCGACAAACTAGCGTACCAAATCCTGTTAAAGACCTTCGAGGTATCAAAAGAAACCGCAAGTATTTACCATTTGTTCCCTCACTTGGCCTGTTTTAGTGAAACATGTATAGCAGTCACTGAAGGAGTCATAATGCTCTAGGTGTGTTGTGAGGGAGGGCTTGCAATATACTCGTACGCTCCATAGTCTTTCACTGTATGGACGTAATTAAAATTGGCCGATAGTGGGTAAGATCAGCATGACAGCCTTTTTTGAGCCTAGGTTGCAACATTGGCAAGCCTCCAAGATTTGGGCACTATTTCCGTCTTAAATGAGATGCGGTACAAGCATGTTAATACAGGAGACAACTCAGGCGATGAGAGACCACTTTAATGATATTTAAAAATCAACAAATGGCGTTTGTGTTTTTTTCTATTTCAAACTGTAAAATCTAACACACTTTACTTACAACAAATCCTGCAATTATAAATGTTTACATGCTTCACGTAGATTGCACCACTTAACAATGTTGCTCGTAATGCCGCTCTGGGCCGTATTTAGTAAGAGCAAGAATACACCGTCAGTGTTTACGAATTTTTGATCTTAAACAACGTGTTCCTAAGACACTATTTTATTTTAAAAATAAATTATATCTAATTTTTTATTAGTTCGAGATATTAAAAATATTAAAAAAATAGTAGTTTTTGCAAATTTACTTTTAAAATACCTGAGCACTATATGCTTGCTTTTATTTGCATTTTTGACAGTTACAGAACCCATCACGCTGTTTTGTCTCGTGGGAGTTGTAAAATTAAATATTTATTAATCGAGTAGTAGTACTTAATAAAGAAGGAAGAAGATTACGAAGATATGTATGAGATTAAGAAGAAGATTAATAAATATTATTTAATAATCGACCTTTCTGCCGTACACTTGAAAAAAATTCAACAAAAATAAAAGGATATTACTCATTTAAATTTTTTTATTCATGTTTAAAGCTGGTTTAAATATTATTATAATAAAAGTTAAAACAAATTTAGCAATGCTTAACAAAATCAGCTTATAATACAGCAAAACAAAACAATTGAAGTATGTAAATACGCCTAAGTTTATTATTACGAGGTAAATATATCACGAAAAAAGCAACGCTCTTCGTTTCTGTATCAAAATTTCTGTATAAAATAAAAACAATTATAGATTTTTAATAACTACTTAAGCTTTCTATAATATACTAATATGATAAAATCAACAAATTATTTAGCCGAAATATTTTCGGTGTATTTGGGAATGGTTTTGTCCATTTCTGACTCCTATAAGACAGCATGTCTTCCCAGGGTCTTCTCCCTGAAATTTGTAGGCAGTGTTCATTGTGCCTATGAATTATTTGATGCTCGGAATTCTGGCTTTAAGCGCGTCGTCCCCCTGCTAAAAGCACGGATGTTCTACGCTCGGCAGCTTATGCTTGAAAAGTGGAAGAGCGACTGGTCCACTAGAGGGTAAGAAACAATACTGTCGAGACTGCTCGTCCGGTCCCGTCAGACTAAATGAACACGCGATGCGAATCTTTCATCTTGCGGTTGGTGCATGTAATTTTTGGGAAGAGAGCCGACAGACGTCAAGTGCCACCACTGTCGCAGCGACGAGAAGACGGCGCACTATTTCCAAAAGGATTAACCGGGTTTTAAAGTGTTTTAAAGTGGTGTTAAATATTATTATTTAATTAATTTGGTGTTCATATAGTTCAGATTCAATAGTTTTTGTGAAATAAATGAACGCAATGTTTAGACGCCGAGTGCCCCCACTGTCGCAGCGACGAGAAGACGGCGCACTATTTCCAAGAGGATTAACCGGATTTTAAAGTGTTTTATAGTGGTGTTAAATATTATCATTTAATTAATTTGGTGTTCCCATAGTTTAGATTCAATAGTTTTTGTGAAATAAATGAACGCAATGTTTAGACGCCGAGTGCCCCCACTTTCGCAGCGACGAGAAGACGGCGCACTATTTCCAAGAGGATTAACCGGGTTTTAAAGTGGTGTTAAATATTATCATTTAATTAATTTGGTGTTCCCATAGTTTAGATTCAATAGTTTTTGTGAAATAAATGAACGCAATGTTTTTGACGCCGAGTGCCCCCCACTGTCGCAGCGACGAGAAGGCGGCGCACTATTTCCAAGAGGATTAACAGGGTTTTAAAGTGTTTTAAAGTGGTGTTAAATATTATCATTTAATTAATTTGGTATTACCATAGTTTAGATTGAATAGTTTTTGTGAAATAAATGAACGCAATGTTTATACGCCCAGTGCCCTCACTGTCGCAGCGACGAGAAGACGGCGCACTATTTCCAAGAGGATTACCCGGGTCTGTGTTGTGTGATTACGCCTATTCCCTCGTGGCGTGGGCTGAGGGATCTCTTGCCTAACGGAAGGAGTCTACAGAGAGGGAAAGGATCCCCCAATCTACAGCTGGAGTGCCGGTCGCGGGTCGAGAGAATTTGAGACTTTTCTCCAACCCCCATAATGGAGTTGTTTTAAAGTGTTAATTATTATCATTTAATTATATTCCAATAGTTTAGATTGAATAGTTTCTGTAAAATAAATGTGCATGTGCAGTGTTTATTTTCACCCCGTACGTACATTATAAAATAAAGTAGGTACATTAAGTACACATCGCGCCATTGTAATATAAATAGATAACCCCGCATATTTTTTCTATTAAATTTAATGTGGGTACCTATATGTTAATGTGTAGGTTTTATGTATGTTAGTTTTTATAAACAAGTCTTTGTTTCTTTCTTTGCTGTAATTGTGTTATATTTCATGACAATA